AGTAGACTAATTGACAAATATATCCTCATAAAAAAGACCTTATTAATAGAATTTGAAATTATATAACTCTAAGGACTAAATGTGACACACTATTGATAATTGAAGGATTAAATTTGTCCAAATCAATTAAGAAGGACTAAATTTACAAAAGTAAAATAATTCAGGGGCCAAAAAGCCTTAAATTATAGAATCATAAAATGAAATATAAAATTTAAAACTAAATTTTTTGATTTATAAATAAAATTTCTTTAATTATTATTCATATAGTTGGAAGGAATAAGGTTCAAATTGATCACTGAACGTAACCTGAAAATGCAATTAGACCACTGAACGAAAAAAGAGTGCAATTAGACCACTGAACACTCCAAATGCATGCAATTTCACCTGATAGCAGGTTATCATTAATTTTAGCAGGTTACCTGCTTACGTGACAGTTGAGTTGGCATTTTAAATAATTTTTAATAATAAATTGTAATAATATATTTATTAAAAAAAAAAAGACGGAGTGGCTGCCGGCCACCCCGTCATTTTATTTTTATTTTATTTTTTTTGAAATTTTTAAAAATTTATTATTAAAAATTATTACAAAAATATTTAAAAGTTATTTAAAATACAAACTCAGCTGCCACATAAGCACGTAACTTGCTAAAAATGATGGTAACATACTATCAGGTGAAATTACATACATTTGGAGTGTTTAGTAACCTAATTGCACGTTTTTGGAGTGTTCAGTGGCCTAGTTGCACTTTTTTTTTTTTTTTTTTTTTTTTTTGGTTCAATGGTCTAATTGTATTTTCAGGTTACGTTCAGTGACCAATTTAAACCTTATTCCTAATTGAAATTATAAAATATATAAAATATATAATTTAATTATGTAAAGATCGTTTATAAGTTTATTTAAATATATAAATAATTAGAGACTATATTGACCATACAAAATTTAATTTTAATTTGTTATGTTATGTAAATACATACCTAACTAAATATATAAAAGTCAAACTATGTAGTGTTAATTTTTTATTTTTTATTTTTTAGTACACTAATTGGGATGAGTTTCAAACTTGAGATCTTATAAAAAACAACAAGCCAACAATAATGCCATCAAACCAGGCATATTACAATGTTAGTTACTAATGTTGTGTCACATAGTACTGGAAAATGATTATTTTTGTCCAGTTACGTGTTAGAGCAAATGGAATTAAACATTTATAAAACCCTGAACCCCACATTTGTACTAGTAGTTTTTTATTGAACCACTATAAATATTGAAGAGTTCCAGCTCGCCGTCAACAATGGCGTGTCTGCGCGCAAGCCCAAACCCTCCGGTAATCACCCCACCGGAATCCAAATACACATGCAAATACCTTCCCATTCACACTATCGCCACTAGTTTCTCGAAGCAGCTTAGGTTCTCAATTAGCGGCGCATCAAGGCGGCCCTCATTTCAATCCTTCTCCGCCGCCGCCGTCCGCTGCGAGTCTTCTCCTCCAGCGCGCCGGCCGGAATACATCCCGAACCGAATCCTCGATCCCAACTATGTTCGCATTTTCGACACCACTCTCCGCGACGGCGAGCAGTCCCCCGGGGCCACCATGACCACCAAGGAGAAGCTCGCGGTTGCCCGCCAGCTCGCCAGGCTCGGCGTCGACATCATTGAGGCCGGATTTCCCGCTTCCTCCGAGGCAGACCTCGAGGCTGTTAGACTGATTGCCGAGGAGGTCGGCCGTGGGGAGGGCGATCACGTGCCCGTCATATGCGGCCTCGCCAGGTGCAATAAGAGAGACATAGACAAGGCCTGGGAGGCTGTAAAGCATGCCAAGAAGCCCAGGATCCACACCTTCATCGCTACCAGTGAGATCCACATGAACTACAAGCTCAAAATGTCCAGGGAACAAGTGGTGGAGAAGGCCACTAGCATGGTTGCATATGCCAGGAGCCTGGGTTGCTCGGACGTCGAATTTAGCCCTGAAGATGCCGGCAGGTTAAATTATTTTTTTTTCTTATTAGTGCTTTTGCATTTTCAGTACATCATTTATTTATAATCCATTTTTTGCATTTTATTTTATAATAAATGAGATGAGATTTCAAATGTTGTGAATTTGTTATACACATAAAAGTTTACAACACATGAATTGATGAGATGTTTCACTAGATTAAGGTCATCTTCCTTGATTGTTTTTTGTTCCCAAATGGCCATGAGTTGCAACTGAAACACCAAACAATTTATCTCCCCTGATATGCTTTTACTTGCATTTAGTGATATGATATTGCATGTTTCCTGATTCCATGGCAAATGTACATTGTTCACCTTTGAGATCTAGATAAATGTTTGGTATGCATTCTTAGCTAATCTCATGATAATAATATCAAAAGCAATTGTAAGTACAAACCACTTTTTTTCCTAAAAAGCAACAAATGCTGGGCAAATTTTATAATTTCAAAAGTTTACAAATTCGCCCTGCTCTTTGCCTCTTACCTCTGCAAGCCCTTTTTGCTAACAGCTTCATTCATGTTAAACACAGGTAGTCTTCTCAAGAGTATTCTTATTTTTCTTATTTATTACTCTTAATTATTATGCATTTTGTTTACTTAACCTTCTATTCCTATTCCTTTCAGATCTGACAGGGAGTTTCTTTATCAAATACTAGGAGAAGTTATCAAAGCAGGAGCAACAACCCTTAATATCCCAGACACTGTTGGATATACCATTCCCAATGAATTTGGACAGCTGATTGCTGATATAAAAGCCAACACCCCTGGAATTGAAAATGTTATCATTTCAACACACTGCCAAAATGATCTAGGACTTTCAACTGCCAACACCTTAGCTGTATGTAGCCTTTTTCTTAAGTTCAATTATATATCAGCAGGTTCAGTTTGCAATAACATTGGTGCTCATTTTTCAGGGAGCATGTGCAGGTGCAAGACAGTTAGAAGTGACCATCAATGGCATTGGTGAGAGAGCTGGAAATGCTTCACTGGAGGAGGTAGGTAATATTATCCTTGGTCTCTTTATTGGAGATCCAAGACATTATCAGACAATGGAAGAAAGAGTCATCAATTGTACATCTTACTGGTCAACATTCCTTTCCATTGACCATAAAACCAACTATTTGGCTGGACTCGTGTCAGTGTTTGCACATATATGAATAGTCAGATCCTTGCTTACAAACCTTTCTTGGTTTCTAAAAATCATTTGGGTTAGTAGTTGGAAGCCGAAATTTTGTGGATTTATGAGGACCCTTACACTAGCACTAATTAATAACTATTACAAGAAACACTTTGCAATTATTTCCACTTTGGTTGTTACATTTGTAATTATTCATGCTAACTTAAAAACAGTTTAAGTAAAAAAAATGTCATATTTGCTATTTTTTTCCTACATAGTACAGTTTAACAATTTCTTATTTTTCATTTTTTTTTTGTATAAGTTACAAGTTAACAATTTTGTATTCTTGATATGAATCTGAACCACTATTTAGTATTTTGTCTATTTTACTTTACCAATAGTAACACAGGATGATGTTGGCTGAATGCCTGAATTCCAACAAGAAATGAACAAAAAATGTAATTTGATTCTTCATTTGTGATGCAATACAAGCCTACATTTATTTTTATTTAGAAAAAACATTTATTTGCCCCCACCCACCCCCTCCCCTCAAAAATAAAAATGTTACTGTCATTAGTTTTGGCAGTCTAAACACCCAACCTCTCTTCTCCGTGGATGTTTTCTTGCTGGTTCTCTCTCTACGTGGCTGAGAGTCTGCTGGATATTCTCTGTAATATTCATGGCAATTTATGGAAATGAAGGATGATCAGGGTCTTCCTACTTACATGAGCTATTTCTAATGATTGACTCACTGACCTGTGATGTGCAGACATTAGTTACTAGATATTCTTTTCTGAGTTAACTCCCAAGCATTTTTTTTATGTTATTCAGCATTAGGATTTATGAATATGGAATAGGGTTATTCTGATGCTACTTTTTAAGCTGTGACAAAATTAATTGCAAAAATATTCCTGGTTAGGTCAATTTTTATTTTATCTATTTTTTGTTTGGGTATTGTCCTCTATTCTTTATGATGGTAAAAATGTTAACTTGTTTGTATCATGATTCTTAGGCATTATCTGCTTATTCTTTCTCTTTGATTATTCTAGAAAACTTTAGGATTCTGTTCTTTTCGCTGACAGTTGTGATTTTTCTGTACATAGGTTGTAATGGCTTTGAAATGTCGTGGCGAGCAAGTGTTAGGTGGCCTTTATACAGGGATAAATACACAACAGATTATCATGGCAAGCAAGATGGTATTAAACATATAATGTCTTAACTAATTATAAAACTAAAAATCACATTTGTTTCCCATCTTGGTTTTGGTTGATGACTGTTTGCTGTTCAGGTAGAGGAATATACTGGCCTACATGTGCAGCCACATAAGGCCATTGTTGGGGCTAATGCTTTTGCTCATGAAAGTGGTATTCATCAGGTAAGTTGTATTATCAACCATAAAATCAGTACATGGTTTGCTCAACATTGTCCATAGCACATTTCCGTTCCGCTTGCTGTGCGTATGCAATATTTCCTTGCTACTATAAATACTAGTTCAATTTATATCAATTTTTTTTTAAAGAGAATCAATAAATGGAAGATATATTAAAATACTAAATAGTAAGTCATCTCAGAAAAGAAAAAGAAGAATATATAATAGTGCTTTTGCGAAATGATTTGACAAGTTATGCAACAGTTGAAACTTATATTACTATTCCAAAGGCCTGAAGAAAAAAGAAGACAATAAATAATTGATAACCATTTAGTTATTAACTAGGAGCATAAAAGGTTATGAATAAATAGTTACAGAAAACCTAAGCTCAAAACTGAGCCCTTGGAATCTGTCTTTCACTTCCTAGTTGATTCATTGGGTAGTTTCCAATAAATATTATGTACCTGTATTGCAAATGTGTTTTCTATGATTGATACGATTGTTTTGCATTGACTTGGTAATCAGTTCATTTGTACATGTCATTATATATGTATATATATATTATATAGGAGACGGATAAGGTGAGAACCAACTGCCCAGGAGAGAACTTAGAATCAATTGCAACCGTCCACATGTCCAGATCTAACAGTTCAGAAACATTGTTTTTTATTTATTTATTTTTTATATTTTTTAATAAACGCGGTGTCATTTTTGTAAATAATTGAACTTTGAAGTGCAAGTAAATTGTGTTAAAAGTGCAAGTAACAGTTTCATATAGTGCAAGTAAAATGTATTAAAAGTGCAAGTAAAATGTATTAAAAATGCAACAAATAATGTACACTGAGCATCAATATTAAGTGCACCTAATGTTATCATTAGTTGCACCAAACGTTATCATTAAGTGCACCAATGTGAAAGACGTTATCATTAGGTGCATCAATGTTAAAAAGGTAAATTACTTGCACTATTAAGTGAAAATGGTTGCACTTTTAAGTGATTTTACTTACTTTTTGCATTTTTAGCACGTTAAATGCGCCAAAGTTCGAGGTATTTATGCAAATGCCACTGCACTTTTTTTTTTTTTTTTTTTTTTTTTTTTTTTTTTTTTTTTAATTACAAATGATCCATTAAATCTATACACGTGGATGACTTGCGATTGATTCTCAATTCTTTTGTTCTCACCTGAGCATGCCCCTATATATATATATATATATATATATATATATATATATATATATATATATATATATATATATATATATATATATATATATATAGAACAAATTGCACTTTTGGTCCTGTGAGTATTAGGGTACTGACAATTTGAGTACGTGACTTTCAAAACTCCCAATTTAGACCTTTAACTATGCAAAAATTGGCAGATTTGGTCCTCCGGGCCAAATTGCCGGCCAATTTTGGCCGGAAAAACATAAATTGGTTCGAATTTATTTGTGTTGAGGGCAAAATCGTCATTTCACGATTGGCTCCCTAGCACGACGATGATCTTGATTATCTTCTCCGGCGGGGAGGAGGTTGAGATCCAAATTCAAACCTTTCCCATTATTTTCTTCCTTTTGGAGTACCCTTTTCTCGAAGCTGGAAGAGCTCGGGCTCAACTGCGAGGCGGCGGCGGCGGCGGTGGAGTTACGGTGGCGTCTCATGTGGCCGCCCAACGCCTGGCCGGACGAGAATTCGGCGCCGCAGTAGGAGCACTCGTGAATCCTGGGGGAGGACTTGGCGGAATCGTAGAAATGGAGGGAAGAGAAAGGGGGAGAGATTTTAGGGGTCTTGTTGAACGGATAAGGATTAATGTCTTCTTCATCGTACAAGGACAGCGGCCTCTTCACGGCGGCGGTTTCCACCGTCGTCAACGGTGGCTTCTCCTTGGTGTGGCTGGTCCGGTGGCCGCCTAGCGCTTGAAACGTCGGAAACGTGCGGCCACACGTTTTACATTCGTAGACATACATCCCCACTTTCACCCCTCCCCCGCCGCCCACGGTGGTCGTCTCTATATATTTCTTGCTGCAGAATTTGCTCCCGCCGCCGCTCTCCTCCTCCTTGTACAGCAGCGACTTGGGGATGGCAGGAGGATGACGCGAGACTCCTCCGCCTTGGGAGAGGAGCATAAGGCAGCGAGCCATGTCCTCGTCCTCCGGCGTAGGCGCGGCGGGAATTGGTTCAGAGGTGGCGGAAGAATGCGGTGGTGTCATGTCCGTGATCATGGTGAAAGAGAAGGGAGTGAAATGACGGTTTTGCCCTCAACACAAATAAATTCGAACCAATTTATGTTTTTCCGGCCAAAATTGGCCGGCAATTTGGCCCGGAGGACCAAATCTGCCAATTTTTGCATAGTTAAAGGTCTAAATTGGGAGTTTTGAAAGTCACGTACTCAAATTGTCAGTACCCTAATACTCACAGGACCAAAAGTGCAATTTGTTCTATATATATATATATATATATATATATATATAGGATCATATGAGAATTTTTTTGTAGGAGTAAAGGAAGAACCAATCCCAGCTGTAAGCTCAAAAACAAGGAGATGGAAAAAACACGATAACATTTTGGTAAATAACATGAACTTTAAAGTGCACTTGACAACTACTATAGAGTGTATCCAGTGTTATGCGAAAGTGCACCCTGTAGTGTTTCAATTTATGTTGTAACTAAGTGCACTTTGCAAAATGCACTCTGTAGTATTGTGTAGTGCACTTTAAAGTTAGAGATAATTACCAAAACGTCACTATGTTTTTTCCTTTCCCCTTGTTTTAGAGCCGTTAGAATTGGTTCTTAGTTTTCTCTTGAGAACAAATTCTCATGTTTGTGTGCCCCTCTCCCTCTTTCTCTCTCTCTAGACACGCATATTTATTTATTTTGGTAACTTGTTTATATAATGATTTTGTTCTCAACTAACATTGTCTAGAGTATTGAGTCTTGATTCAGAGAGGACTAGAGGAAACCAAATAATATTGATATGAACTTCCTAATCACCAAAGAAGAGTTGCACCATGACTTATATTTATAACATTACCAAAATACTGAACATAAAATGCATTTTTTAAAAAAATACACATATTGAACTGTGTATCAATATTTAATGATGTTGTGTGCATTATCTTGTCATTCACCAAATTCCCCCACCTGCAGAGGTTAGAGCACAAGCTACAAGTTATACCATCTATGGTGTGTCAGAAGTGTGCCATTTTAGATCTTTTTTTTTTAGAACAGGTGCCATTTTAGATCAATCATATTGATGTGTTCATATTTTCAACAAATAGTAAAATATGTCAACATGAATGTGCTGTGTGTAACCATTCCCCACACTATTACTCTACTATATTTCCCTTCCCCCTTGCTCATGGCTGGATCTATTGCCTTAATTTGCCTGCTTCTATCTAGGACGGAATGCTAAAGCACAAAGATACATATGAGATAATATCTCCAGAGGATATTGGGCTTTTCCGGGCTAATGAATCTGGTATTGTCCTTGGAAAACTCAGGTATTCTTTCTTTTCTCCATCAAATGCTTTTATCCACATTATGGTCTGGGGCTTTCTCTTTTAACTTTTAAGTTCTAATTGTCCACAATGACCTTGTCTAGCCTTGAAATTTCCGTTATACTTAGAAAAATTATTTTCACTGACAATAGGTGCATGAAATTTGATTTGTGTTCTTTCCAAATAATGACTTATTATACACCTTATAGGTCATTTGGTAGCTACGAAAATTTTGACAATTTAAAAGGTGGGAAAGTTATTACCATGTTTTATGCATGCTTTGACTTGGGAAAGTCTGGGTCAACTAGGACTGCGATTCTTTGAAATCAAGAGAAGTAAATCCAAGTTAGGGGGGGGGGGGGGGGGGGGGGTCTTATTCATTTTCCTAGCAAACACATTCCCTATAATTACTTCTCTAGAAATTTAATTGGGGTGGGTAAATGCCAAATGGCCTCTTATTGTTTGGATTTTTTTTTTTTTTTTTTTTTTTTTTTTTTTGTGGTTTCACGAAGGGCAGTTTGATTCAGCTTTTTTAATTTCCTAATATCAACCCTTGGTGGCTGTATAGCACTGCATCTATTTTCTTCTAGATATTAAATTGCATTGCATCTATTAACCTATTGAGTGATTGTGCAGTGGGCGCCATGCTTTGCAAGCCAAAATGCTGGAGGTAGATTGAATCTCTTACCTTGTTTTTGACCATGTTGGAAATATTAATGTGTTTCCATTTGTTTGCTAGTGTCTGTCAAGTTCTACTTTTCCTTTGTGTTGCAGCTAGGTTATGAGATTGAAGGAAAGGAATTAGAGGACCTCTTTTGGCGTTTTAAATCTGTTGCTGAAAGGAAAAAGGTGAATTAACATCATTGATATCTATTGCTCTATTATTTATTTATTTGGGTTCATTTGAGGGGAATGGGGATTCAACCTAAGATCTCTTGTTATAGAGTCTAAGGCCTATGCTACTAGACTATGACGAGTGACGACCTTGGCATCACTTGCTCTATTGAAAGCTTTATTTAGTGTCATTATATAGAGAAGCACTATACAGTTGGAAAATCTGCTCTTGTAACTACCTGAAGATGCAGTGCAATGTTCTATTGAAGGTAGGAAAAGTAAAAGAGGGTAATAAATAGTTGCTAGAAGTATCCCTCTTAAATTGGCTAAGACCCTTAAATAAGTGCTTTTCAAATAAGCTGTACGAAATAGGCTCTCTACAGCTTTCTAGAAGCCATGACTCTTTTCAGTTTTCATAAGCCTATCCTAGCACATTCAAAGTGATTGTTTATGTACTTATAGCCTGAGAAAATCTTGAATAAGCTGAAAGTAATCTACTCCCCACACAACGTTTAATTTGTTTTCTAAATGATATGAAGTGATCATTTGGGCATAAGACATCAGATAAGATTAAGGATAGGCTCAAAACCAATGTTTTACAATGAAGTGTCATAATGCTTCAGGCTAATGATACTATCAGAGGAAGGAGATTATCTGAATGTTGTATCTAGAAATGTTAAAGTCCACGTTGATTGCTGGGCCCTTATATTTCTAATATTTTTCCTTTTGCAACAAATGTTTTACTATGAAGTGTCGAAATGATTTGAACATTGAGCTAAAAGGCTAATGATATTATCAGTGGAAAGTGATTGTATGAATTTTGTATATAGAAATGTTAAGAGTACACATTGATTACTGGGTCCTTGTGTTTTCTCAGCTTATATAGTTATATCTAATATTTTCCTTCTGCCTTAGCAGACTTTCTTCTGTCAGTTTGAAAGGCTTCATGTGTTAGCTTTCCAGTTCCTTCACTGTTCTTTAATCATAAAAATAATGCTCAGTGATACTGTAGGTGTTTCGACACATTTGATGTACATTTTGTTTTTCAGAAAGTGACAGATGATGACCTAATTGCACTAGTATCAGATGAAGTTTTCCAGCCACAAGTGTTTTGGAGACTTGGAGATGTACAGGTTGATATCTCTATACTTTTGAGGAAGTTCTATTTTCCATCTTATTTTATTATTGTGGATCGGCATTTAGGTCAATTATAAGGATGTAATTCACAATGCACAGGTAACTTGTGGCAGTCTTGGTCTTTCTACTGCGACTGTTAAGCTCATTGATGCTGACGGTGAAGAGCATGTTGCTTGTTCTGTTGGAACTGGTCCTGTAGATGCGGCTTATAAGGCAGTTGATCTAGTTACAAAGGTTTGAAATGGAAACTTGATTTTTCGTGAACACAGATACTTACTTGTGAGCTGTGTGTGCTATGGTTTGTTTTGAGATAAGGTTTGCTGATCTCAAGGCCATTGCGTTCACCTAATTCCTATTATAAGACTTAACATAGCAATTAGCATTTCACTGCCTTGAGGTTTTCAAATTACGAGACTAACAGCCTTAATCGAACTGTTCTGGAATGCAGGTGCCTGTAACTCTCCTTGAGTACTCCATGAATGCAGTTACAGAAGGTATTGATGCCATAGCCAGCACTAGAGTTTTGATTCGCGAGGACCAAGCATCAATCCATGGTTCAACCGGAGGGAGTGCAAACCGTTCATTTAAGTATGACAAGCTTTCTTTTTACAGTAACCTCGTTTTCTTTCCATTTTGATCTCTTGAAGTTGTTTGATATTAATACTAATACTAATTTGTTGCCATTGGGCTGAATAGTTACAATAATCTTCTTTGTTGTGGTAGTGGAACCGGAGCAGCTATGGATGTTGTAATCTCCAGTGTTCGAGCATATGTTGGTGCATTGAACAAGCTGTTAGGTTTCCAAAACCTAGTTTCAAGATATAACAAAACCCAAGGTACTGTTGTCATCTAAGCAAATTCCCAAGCTTGCAAACAAGAGGCAATAAATATCAACTGTGGTGTTGTGGTGAAAATAAAGACAAAACTGTCTTGTTAGGAGCATAGCTACTAGCTAGCTAGCTAGCTGGGTGGCTGAGATACTTTATTTGAATTTTTTTGGGGGTTACAATTTAGTTGAAAGATTTTGTTGTGTGCTTTACTTTTTTGGATGGTAGACAAAGCAAGTATACAATCTTGGACAAGGGTTTGAAATACGATTCCAGTGATCTTGCTCCCACCCGATTTGTCTTCCATAATTATCAACCCAAATTCACTTCATTTTTGATTACTTCTAATTCTTTATTATCAATTTGATTAATGCAAAAATTCTTATGAGAATGTCACACAGATCTTCATTCGTGAGGTGGGCTGGGATTTTACAAGTACCAAACCTGGTCCGTTTCTACAAGTATTAATCTTTTTTTTTTTTTTTTTTTTTTTTTTTTTTTTTTTTTTTTAAATTTGAAATATATAAGTAATGTTTTTATGTGAGATTGTGATATTATTTAGAGTAGAATGATTATTCTTACTATTGATACATATTGTAAATTTGTAATACTTATTAATGAAATTGTGGTATTTACAAAGTCTAATTCTAATTAAATAGTGTAATACTTAGGGATGACTACATCCATCACCCGACCCACCTTATATGTTCTCCACCCACCCTCAATCCGCATCGGGTGGACTTTTTCAAAACTAACCCTTATCTCACTGAGTGCGGGTGTCACTACGGGTATCCACCATTTATCATCTTATTATTTTTTCAAAAAATAATATTGAAATTACTTATACATAATAAAATAATAAAATTAATTAGTTATACTAAAACATAAAATAATAGAATTATTCAAATATAATAATTAAATTGTTAATTTTTAAAAATAAACTTAGTAGTTTAGATATAAAAATAGTAAAAAGTTACTAAAGTTATTGAAACTTTTATAATTAACTATATACTAATACTACTTATTTTACTATTATATATTATATATACATGGTGAGTCGGGTGGGGTTTTAAGCGGGTTTTATACATAGAACCCGAATCCAACCCGACCCGCCGCGGGTTGACTTTTTTAAAATCCACCCCCGACCCTCCACCTACTATCACCATGCGGGGTGGATTCGGGTGGATATCCGTGGGGAGAATTGAAATTGCCAATCCCTAGTAATACTTATATGTGAAATGCTACTTATGAAAGAAAAATTGTAATACTTATTGTAAAATAAGTTGTTACTTATGATAGATATCGCAATATTTATATGTAAAATTATGTCATTATAATACTATTTAGGGTAAAATTAATTGTTATTAATATAAATATTGTAATTCTTATAATTGGAACTGTGATACTAACACACTTTTAGTTGTGCAGATGGATTCTCTCTTGGACATCCCGTCAACGGCGGCATCCGAAAGGTCGCCGGAAGATCAAGACTTGTTGGAAAGAAGCACGCGAAGGGCGAAAAGAGGCAGAGTTACGGCTGCATGTTCAGACCACCCCACACCGGAGTTAGGCACACAGGACAATCCCACTGGACATGGGGCGAGTACACCAGATTTTGCTCAATGGAGAACCCCAGCCGCTACACCGAGCCACGCTTGGAATCGCAGGGTTGATTATCCACCTCATGTGGAAGAAGTTGTCTCCGATGATGATGAGATGGATGACGACGGTGCCATATATGATTACCCTGTTATTCGAGTTACGAAGGAAGAAAAAGAAAGGTTGCGTCGGCCATGGCGTAGGTCGCTCATTCTGCGTATCTTGGGTAGGACTGTAGGTTACTCCTTCCTCCTGCAGCGTCTACAACGGATGTGGAAGACAGAATCAGGTTTTGAATTGATCGCTTTAACTCATGACTATTTCATTGCAAAATTTGAGTCTCTTTCGGATTATGAAGCAGTGAAATATGGTGGTCCTTGGATGGTTCTTGACCATTATTTGGTCACTCAGAACTGGAGACCCAATTTTGATCCAAGAAACAACAAGATGGATACACTCTTGGCTTGGATTCGTTTTCCCTCCCTCCCAATCGAGTACTTTGACGACGATTTCTTGAAGAACATTGGGGTGGTCATCGGACGTCCGGTCAAGATCGACTTCACCACCGGGTTAGCAACCAAAGGGAAGTTTGCGAGGGTATGTGTGGAAATCAACATGTCCAAGCCTCTGTTGTCTAACTTTGTGATCAATAAAACGGAATGGCCGATTGAATATGAAGGGATTCATCAGATATGTTTTAAGTGCGGAGTTTATAGACATCGAATGGATTCCTATGGCAAGGATACTCCACCGTCATCAGGTAATGGAGTTGGTGGTTCTGCGGCTAGTTCAATACCGGAGAATGAACAGCTCGCCCAGAAACCTAAAGAGAAATACGGTCCGTGGATGATGGTTACTTGAAGGGATAGGAGAAATCATCCTAGGAACCCAAATAAGCCACCGATGGCTCGCACCACTACTGGTCAGACCGATGCTTCAGGTCCTGAGAACCGTCTAGCTGGTGGTGTGGCGATACAATCACTTTGAGCCGTTAGCGGACATGGAAGTCACAGAAGATTTAAATCGACCAAATGCTCAGATTGCCCCTCCAGTGGTACATCAATAGAATGCTAATCTACCAAGAATCAGAACGGCTTATCGAGGTGGCCACCAACGTATGGAATCAAGGGAACCAGAGGTTGTCCCAAGACCCCCTGACCCTCCAGTAACACACACTCATCCACAGCCTCGAGGAGCGTACAGAGGGAGAAGCGATAGGGGTTACCAACCTAACAGAGCTGCAGCCGGGCAGGAACATACTGTAGTGAGAGGAACTAGTGGGGGAAGAAATATCACAACCCATTCAGTTTATCATGAAGATGACCATCAGTATACCCCCATTTTAGCAGAGTTTGAGAATACTTTCAAAGAGACACCTCCGGACACAGATTTGGTCTCGGCAGCACCACAAGCAGAGGATATGCACGAAGATGGTCGTCTTGTTGATCATGTGGTCGTGGCAGGGGAGGCTCTCTTGCGTCATTAGACGCATGTTTGCTTTTCCATCTCATTCATTATTTTTTCATGGAATTGCCAGGGTGCTGCCTCGTCTTCGTTTAGGTGCACCTTTAAATTTCTGTTACGTATTCATAAGCCGTCACTGGTTTGCCTTTTTGAACCTAAGGTGTCAGGGAGCCAAGCCAATGATATTTGTTCTTCTTTTGGTTTTTCTGATTGGTGTAGAGTAGAGGCAGTGGGCTATTCGGGGGGATTTGGTTGTTATGGCAGGATTCAATTGATATTGAGATTTTGTATACTCACCCGCAGTTTGTCTCGTTTCAGGTAGCCGAGAATGGTTCTTCCCCGAGGCTCATGTCTGCGGTCTATGGCAGTCCAAATTTGTCTCTCAGAAAGCGTCTCTTCCCCGACTTGTCTGGTCACCATTTTTATCCACAGGGCCCTTGGCTATCATTTGGGGATTTTAACTCAGTCACGAGTAGTAACGAAGTCAGTAACACGGAAGCCTTCACTGCGTCATGTTGTTCAGACTTCAATGAATGGATCTTTAGAGAAGGATTAGTAGATTTGGGTTTCAGAGGCCCTTCTTTTACCTGGACAAGGGGTATTGATACACCTACCTTTAAAGGTGCTCGACTTGATCGCACTTTGTGTAATGTGGAATGGAGTCTTCGGTTCCCAGATACAACTGTTAATCATCTGCCTAGGATTGGTTCGGACCACTCATCGCTCCTCATCTCTACTGCCAGTTCTTCTCTACGGAAGAGCTCTTACAGCTTCAAATTTAATATAGCATGGGCGGCGCACCCCTCATTCCATGAATGTGTTCAGACAGTATGGAATAACGAACTTGATCTGTTGAATAACACTACTGCATTGGCCCAGGTACTTCCAGAATGGAGCAGAAACTCCTTTGGTAGTGTCTTCCAGAGGAAAAGCAATTTATTGGCTAGATTAGATGGAGTTCAACGGTGTCTTGTGATAGGTGCAAGAGCTGATCTTTTGAGACTGGAACGTAGCCTTTGCAAAGAATTGGAGGAGACACTTCATCAAGAGGAACTCATTTGGTTCAAACGCTCACGAGAGGAGTGGATCGTATCTGGTGACCGGAACACACGATTCTATCAACTAGCAACAGCCATGAAGAGGAGCCATGCGATCATCCCTTGATTAGTTAACGAGGTTGGATAGAGCATCTGTGAGGAAGGATTGTTAAGGAAGCATGTCTACGACTATTATCGGGGGCTTTTCTCGGCAGAAGGGGTGTCTAGTCCGCAACTTTTACTCCATGGTTCATTCCCACTTCTCACAAATGAGGATTGGACTATAGTGAATGCACCTGTTACCCATGAGGAAGTTAAGTTAGCATTATTTGATATGGCTGCTTGTAAGGCCCCTGGTCCTGATGGATTCACCGTTGGTTTTTATCAAAAGACATGGTCCATCACCTGTGAGAATCTGGTCAGTTTTATTAAACTTTTCTTTGACTCTGGATGGCTTCTTCCTGGATGCAATGACACCTTGCTCTCCCTCATACCGAAGGTGCCGAATCCGGATCATATCAAACAATTTCGACCTATCGGCCTCTGTAATGTTGTTTATAAACTCATTACAAAGGTCATGTCATCCCGTCTTAAGGACATTGCAAGCAAACTCGTAGGCCCGCACCAGTCAAGTTTCATCCATGGTAGACAGATTACGGATAATGTACTTACGTACCAAGAAGTACTTAACTCCCTAAGAACCAAGAAAGGTAGAGTAGGGTGGATGGCTGTTAAGATCGATCTCGAAAAGGCGTATGACAGGCTTTCTTGGAGTTTCATTGAAGATACACTCCGGGAGATCGGATTTAATCACTCCTGGGTCAGGAACATCATGTATTGCATATCCTCTTCCCGCCTTGCGGTTCTTTGGAATGGGCAGCGAACTGATTGGTTTTCTCCGGAAAGGGGTATTAGACAGGGAGACCCTATATCCCCTCTTTTGTTTGTGCTTTGTATTGAAAGACTAAGTCATATCGTTATGAATTCAGTTAACTGTGGACGTTGGAAAGGGGTAAGAATTTCTAGTCATGTTCCTAATATGTCTCATCTATTTTTTGCAGACGACCTAGTATTTTTTGGGGAAGCCACGGTCGAACAAGCTATGGAAATCAAGGCATGTCTTGATGTTTTTTGCTCATGTTCTGGTCAGAAGATAAATCACTCCAAGTCATCTCTCTTTTTTTCCAAAAACACTGCCATGGACTCCCAACTCAACATCGTACAGACTTTGGGGATTCCTAGTGTACTGGATATGGGGAAGCATTTGGGATTGCCTTCCATTCACGGTAGATTAAAAAGGGGTTCTTTCAGCGACATTTTGGAGAAAATTCAAGTACGACTGGCAGGCTGGAAAGCTAGGACCCTTTCACTAGCTGGCCGACGTGTCTTAGTTAACGCTGTTTTGTCTGCAACACCTTACTATACCATGCAGTCTATGAAGCTTACTATGGGGATCATTGATGCGATAGAAAGTGCATTAGAAGCTTTCTTTGGGGTAGTAAGGAATGTGAGAGGAAATGCCACTTGGTGAGTTGGGAGACTGTTACGAAAAGCAAAGCCAATGGCGGCCTGGGTATTAGAAACCTCAAGCACATGAACACAGCTTTTCTTGCGAAACTTGCTTGGAGACTCTCTCAGGACGAGGATTGCACTTGGGTTAAGCTCTTCAAGGCCAGATATGGCGTGATTCCATCTGATTGGTCCTCTTGGCAGCTGCGAAGCAATAGCTCCAATGCTTGGAGGGGAATTATTCACTCATTATCTACTCTCCAAAGTGGCATCAGGTGGCATGTGAGAAATGGTCTTACCACGCGATTCTGGCTGGACAAATGGTTGGTTAACATGCCCTTAATTGATTATATTTCTGGAGCAATCGCCCCCTCTGCCAGATTCAACCATGTGATAGATTACTGGACTACTGACCATGGTTGGGATTGGGAGATGCTTGACCAACTACTCCCTCCATATCTGATGAGCAAGCTATCTACTTTCATTCTTCATGAGGATTCAAATTTGGATGATCAATTAGTTTGGTGCAGAGAACTAAATGGCTGTTTCTCTGTCAAATCTGCTTATGAGATAACAGCAAATGATCCTGAGGAGTTTGATGCAGCCAAGTGGAATTCGATTTGGAAGTTAAAACTTCCAAACCGCATCTGCTCTTTCATCTGGCTTGTCAGACATGATAAGATCCTGACGAATCACAACCGCATGAGGCGTAATCTCACACTCAACGACAGTTGTTGGCGATGTAGTAATATTTCTGAAGATTCCAATCATGTGCTTCGTTTTTGCCCAGCCACGGAGGAGGTTTGGAGGAATATCTTGCCCCAGATTCATGAAGAATCGAGACACCTTTCCTTAGTGCCATGGCTCGATAAGGGCTTAGCCGCAAAAGGTGGCGGCAGACGACCATCCAACGATCGTTCTGTTTTTGCCGTTACTCTTTGGTGGTTGTGGAAGTGGCGCAATGAAGCCATATTTAAAGGCTCAACTGTGTCGCTTATGGCCAAGATATCCCATATTAAGACCCAGGTTGAAGGTTTCAATATTCCCTATGCAACTTTGAAGAGCTCTCCCTCTCCAGCCTCTTCTATGACATGGAAATTACTGTCTTGGAATAAACCACCCTCAAACCTGTTCAAGATGAATGTAGATGGGGCAGTTGCTATCCAATCAGTCGCAACATGCTGTGGTGGTGTAATTAGAGACTCATCTGGAGCTTGGTTTAAAGGCTTCATTGCTAAACTAGGATCTTGCACACCCCTTGAAGCAGAGGCATGGGCGCTATTGAAGGGTGTCCAATTTGCCTACTCCCTGGGCTTTAGGAGCATGCTGTTCGAAAGTGATTCATGTGCAGCCGTAGAATTCCTTCGCAATCCACGCCCATTAACGATTGCTGCTCATAACGTCTTAGAGGCCTACAGGAAGGAGCTTGGCACGTTTGATTTCTGGCAGGTTACGCACGTTAACCGGGAGCAAAACACCGTAGCCGATGCTTTAGCCAAAATGGCGTTGAACCACGACTTTGGGCTCTTGTCTTTGATAGACCCCCCGGATACAATCGCTACAGTTTTAGACCATGACTTTACCGATCTACCGACCTGGTGGTTTATGAATAGCTAGTTGTAAACTTTGTTTTGTTTGTTTTCGGGTATCCCCCTTCTTTGATATATAAAAACACACCTTTTAGTTGTTTACAATCTAACTTTCACGTACAAGGATTAGTGAGACGGTTTTACACAATTTTTTTGTTTTTTTGTTTTGTTTTTTGTTTTTTTTTTTGTTTTTTTTTGTTTTTTTTTTGTTTTTGTTTTGTTTTGTTTTTTTTTGTTTTGTTTTTGTTTTTGTTTTTTTGTTGCTTTTTTTTTCATAACTATTACACTTTATCACATAAATAACATTCTCTCAATCAATTTATCTTGATTAGTATTCTTTCAATTCATAAATATTACATTTTGAATATGTTGGTAGACATGGAAAATTTAAAACTGACAAATGAACTGATAAAATTATTATTGGGCTTAATTTTGAGATTGATTATTAGGTTAATTTAATTAATCGAGTCATGATAATTCAATTAATTTAATTAGTCCAAATAAGTTGATTTGGGCTATTGAATTAATTAATTAATTGGTCAAAGTCCAATTAATATTTGAATTTAATTATAATTATAATTATAATTATAATTTAAATATAATATAATTGTATTATATTTGAATTGAATAATTATAATTTAATTTGAATTTTGAATTAGATGATAGAATATTGAATCTGTACTTGATTTTGGCAAGGTTCAGTTTCTTAGTTAATTAATTAATTTAATTAGATAAATAATTAGGGAGTTTGTTAGGGATTTTAGTTAGACTTTCCACTATAAATATAACCTTCATTTGACATCCTAAAGCACACGTGAGGATTTGAGAGCTCGTTGAAGGCATTAAAGGCACAACTTGAAGGCATTTTGAAGGTACTTTGAAGCTCTGCAGAGTTCTATTTTGAAGCTTGACGTTTGCTATTAAAGATCACACCCGGCGGCACGCGCTATTTGAATCCCGGAAGTTACGCAACTTGAAATCCGATATACAAATGGCGCGTGCCTCTGGGATTCAAATGGCGTAGCTTTTGGGATCGAAGTGGCGTGATTTTCAGCAGCAAACGTCAAGCTTCAAGATAGAACTCTACAGAGCTCCAAAGTACTTTCAACGCCTTCAAGATCTTCAAAATGCCTTCAAGTCCAAGTTGTGTCTTTAAGAAACTTTCTTCGTTTTCAGTGGAGACGATCTGTTTTTTTTTTTTTTTTATAATATTTTTTAAATACTTATTTTAAATAATAATTTTTTAAAAATATTTTAAATTAGAGGTGACTTGCTAAAAACCTGAAAAACCTATAAATTGAACTAATTGCATGAAAATGGTTAGTTTAGAGAACTAATTGTAGCCTTTTTAGGTTCAGTGGCCTAATTACATTATTGTGTGCAGTTCGACAGCATATTTGACCCTTATTTCATTTTTTTTAAAAACAATTTATCCTGGATAGTATTACAATTTTTCATAAGTAATAATCAATTAACTCTCTAACTGTTAAAGACGATCTGGCTCTTTTGTGTGATCTCAAGGGCTTTGTATTCCATCGCACTTTTAACCAGAATTAAAGCTCTTTTTCATCTAAAAAGAAAAAACCTGTCCAACAACAGAAATAGGGAAGAAGAAGTAGAACACATAAAAAGACAAATTTGCCCTTCTATTTCACGATCAACATACGACTTTATTGATAGAGGACTAAAAGTGTCCAACAATCAATAAGCGTAGCTACAAATTGACAATTTTTATTATGGAGGATGAAAATTGTCCACGCCCCAATAAGTCTAGGACCAAAAAGGGAATTGACTCTAATTTATTGCATAAAATATGCCAAAGTATTTTATACCTTAAGGATATTAATGGATATAGTTAATGTCATTTCTAATTTTCTCTTTTTTGGAGAATCACCAAATATTGCTAGAAAACTTATTACAAATAGAGTATCAGGCCTGATGCGATTGAGGGATTTCTGGCCCCAAAATGGTGTTCAAAATAACGTTTTGAAGCAATGGACTTCTGGTCCTAAATTATCCTATTAAGTTT